CGCTGTGGATCGCTGGATTGGCTTTCACCGTGGACGAAGCGGAGTCCAGCCCGGGGTCGTCACATGTAGTTGCCGCACACCCGCCGGCCGCTCTTTCGTCGAATCCGCCGGTCGCGCCATTGTCAAGGCCGCCGGCCTCCACTCACTCAAGCCCGCCGTGTGTGACGCTGTGTGACGCATGTTATGGAAGACTGTTTCCTGAACCTGCAGAGTAGCCTACAATGGGTCTGTGCTCAAAGGCTGTTCTATGTGCTGGGAGACGGCATCACAGTGTGTTAAGGGGCATAGCATTTCTGTCACACGCTTGAGGTATTCAGCCAATCACAACGCACTGGATAGCTGGCCAATCAGCGTACACATCGCTAAATGCATTGCATTACGCCAAATACACAACATAATGTTCTTTTTAGCAACTTCATATGACCCCTTTAATAAAACTTTTGTGCACAAATTAAATGAGTTTCTAATTCTGTCACTGCTTGTGGATAATGTCACTTTAACAATTCCTGATCTTGTTACATGCTCTAATGCACTAGAACTGTAAGGAAGTTATTTTCTATGGCCACGAAAATATCCTTTCTTAGAGTTTATATGAAATTACACTGAATGCTCGCTGGATGAACAGATTAGTTGATGCTCATATTCATTCTGCTACAGTTACTACTGGCAGCTGATATAAATAATTGTCATTAATTATAATTAATTGCAAATATTTATATACATTTCACTTAAAAAAAAAATTTGCTAACACCAGTATGAGTTCAGCTGACAAACGTGATACCTTTCATCATCTTGTGAACTGAACTCTTGTATCAGCACATTCCACTCCATTAGGGTCTGTGAAGCATAAAAACACATCAGTTTTAAAGCAGACACTGGGCATGGGCTCACCACATCGTGTCTCCAAGAAAAACCCACACACTTTTTCCACAAAAAAAGACACATCAGTGTGTTTTCAGGCAGCTTTACCTTTGCAGAGAAGGCTGCGTCTGTGTCACAGATCCCAAACCCTGATACACCATGCTCCAGCCAATACCTTAATGAGTACTGGAGAGGAAAATCATACCACATGAGCAATAATAAACAAAAAGTAGGCAGAAATATTGTCACAACAACTTTCGTTCATCTAGTGACATTTAGAGTTGCCACGATAAAAAGTTTTTTTATTCATCACATTTGAAAATAACATACCACCTACATTAAACCATACTCTAAACTTAACTGATAGTGTTAACAAAAAAGCAAGCATGAGATAAAAACACTGAAGCAACCATGCCATTTTAGCTTGCTTCTACAAGTCTTTGAGCTCTTTCATGACTTGTGTTTCATGGGACTTGTAGCCAAGTGCTCTGCATTGCACCAGGTGAGCTACCCAGCAAGTTTACTACATCAGAAAAGCCAGATAGAGCTGGTTGTGTGATGCAAACGTTTAAATGTGTTAGTTTAGAAATCATGCTCTGTGGTAAAATTGTTTGAGGTCATAAGTATTGTGCAAGTAATTACAAAAAATAAGTCTTTATTAATTAATAATCTGCCTCATAATTAGAATTTTTGTGAAAAGGAATACAAATTATTGGCTGTTTTACTACCTCTAGTGTTTATTTCAACTGGATACATACAGTGAACTGAATGTATAGGTACGTTTTTGGAGAGACATTTCCAATCAGTCTATGTTGAAAACATAATACACACTCTTGCTGATATCTTGCATTATATATATCCAGTATATATGCAATATTCCTTACTTGAATGTACTCTGATGGACCTGACCAAACATCAGTGTCATTACCCGACTCCTGCTCAAACAGATCCAGCTCACAAAGGTCCAGCATCACTCTCACACCTGAACCATATGCAAATCCGATAGATCAGTTAATATTGCTTTATTACAACCAACATAGCCTAATGCTGCTTAATATTTTTATGTGCAAACATTTGTTAGTTTTCACAATTGTTTAACAAGCACAAAGGGATTTACAGTAGCCCAAAAACATTTCACAAAATATATAAAAGACAAAACAAAAAGCATTTGGACACTTTGTGCTTGTGAATGTGAAACATGTCCACACTTACGCTATACATGAGGACAGCTGTGTGAACTTGAGGTGAACTGTCTTCATATATGCACTATAAATCACCTTGAGGCCAGTTGGTTAAAAGTAATTAGTTAATATTGGCTACAAAAAAAAATGGCATAATTTGTTTGCACATGCCACTTTGATATCTTTGTTATTTTAATGCAATGATTTTCAGACATGGCTTAAGTGTCCAAATACAAGACCAGTGTATGAGACAAGAGAAGACTGATGTGACCTAACAGCACCATCTAGTGAATGCCAAAGGTACCACAATCCTGATCCACATGCAGATAAAATAGTTAAAGAAAACTTTTCACTTTTATAAAAGGGTGAATGCCAGTAAAACTACCAAAATAAAATCAAGTGTATTTCTTAATAATGAAAATATACATACCCACTTTGCGGCTTTCTGTGATAAGCCGTGTGAATTGTGGAAGTTTGCCCAGACTTTGGTCAATCTCTGTCAGGTTGGTAGGAGAGATGTCATGCCGGAATAACCCCTCCAGAATCACTGCCCCGACCCCCAGCGATTTCAGATACGGCAGCCGCTCGGACACCCCTGAATGCGAAAAACATACACCATCATGCTGGTCTTTACTACTGGAATTTTATTGCTGTTTACTAGTATTAGGCCGACTGTACAGTCCATTCTGTGCTGCTCGCACTCAATCACTGCACCATGACACTTCACACACACATATATACAACTCCTGATCATATATATATATATATATATATATATATATTTTTTTTTTTTTTTTTTTAATTTAAATTTTTTTGCTATTCAACCCTATAACATGAGAATTTTTTTTCTCTATTTAATTTGAAAGGATGATGATCAATTAAAACAAAATATGATTTATTATTTATGAATAATTAAATAATAATTATAATTTTTTTTAAATCCTGAAAATTTCTCACAAAAATGGCACATTTTCTTGTGAACATATTTATTTTCTGATTAAGTTTATACTACACTCTCAAACATAAAGGTTTCCAAAAGAAGTTTTTTGCAACAATGCCACTGTATGAACCATTTTTGTTTCCCCAAAAGAAAACTGTTCTTTAGAAACCAGTTCTTAAAAGAATATTTTTTTCCTTAGTGTGAAGAACATTTTAAGAAGAATTAAATAATCTAAATAATGATTTTCTACTAGAATGAACCTTTTCTCCAATTGAAAGATTTAATAGATGTTATTAGATCTTAATTGAACCAAATATGTCAAAGAGGCCTTTGTTTTTATGAGTGTACACATTGTCACAACTGTGTTAAATGTTCTTGTGATGTGATTTCTCGAAAACCCAACAATAGACTTTGACATGTGGGAGTAATTTTAGGCTCCATGATGGATGGATAAACGGTTTGAATGTTTTGACAGCAGTAGATGCCATCTACCGCCAATTTTTACTGCTGTAAATGATATTTTTATTAACTTACTGCTGATATGGCTGACGTCGCCACTGTCTGCATCCATGAAGAGTGTAGGATGCAGGCGGTAAAACACATCCCTCTGCCACCAGTGCAGTGAAGGAGACTCCATCCGTGGGCTCTGAATGATTATTGTGATTGCAGTGCCCAGGATTATCAGCCAAGCAATCCAGAAGCAAAGCACAAGACGAGAACGAAACTTCTTCCATTCTGGTCCTCCTGCGCACTTCTCCAGCTCTTCTCTGCTCAGGGGCTTCCAGATGTGCTGGTGTTGCTCAATGTCTGGGATAAGGAGAGGTACAGTCTCTGAGCTGTCCAGATCAGTGAATCGACCTCCAGCAGATGCTCTGCCATAGCCTGGATCACCTTCGACCTTCAGTGTCATCTGGTCTCACTGGATGGTAGGAGCCATTGAGAAGAAAAACTGTTTGCACAAAACTTTTGTTTTACAAAAGTTTTGCATGTGACTTTATAGTGTAGGTATCCCACAATACCAATACAACCACAGCACCATATTTCATCGAATTTGATCAAATTTGTAGCTGATCAAAATCCCTGAAACTATCACATATATTGTGATGAATGCTCAATATAAAAATATAGTCATGTATGATGTATACTGTATTTTTTAATTATTTGTTGAATATCTCTGGTGGAACAAACATTAAGCACAACTAAGCGCTTAATGTTACTAATGTAAACTAATTTACTGAGTAAAACATAAAAACTCAGTGTCATAAAATATACCATAATATTTGTTCATTAATGACTAAAGTTTGATCTGCTTGGTTGGTTGGTATACAGACTTAAAAACAGATGAAACTAATATTTATTTTACACAGACAACAGAATTCAAGACACATTTATGTAATATTAATATTAGTAACAGTTATGTTTCTAATAATTATGACTACATTCAGATAATTATTATTAATACATGCTAATTAATCATTTATTTTATTTATAATTTATAATATGGCCTATTTTTTTTCCACAATCAAACACATCTCATGTGAAATCAAACTATAACTGGTTCCCATAACTATTAATCAAGGTTATTAACATTAACTAAACCTAAAATGAAAAAAAATATATCATTACATGGAGAAGAAAAAAACGTTAACTTTTTCTATTTCAGCAACATTTTTCATTTTTGTTTACTTCAAGTTGAAGTACTAAATTAACTAAAACTAAATACACTACAACTAACAACTAAAATTGAATAAAAAAAAAACTATGCAGACATATAAAAAGCTACTGAAAATGACAAAAACAAATTGACTAATACTTTAACTAAAATTAAACAAAATAAGAAAATATAAATTCAAAATATTAACCAAAACTATAATAGTGTATCAATGATAGAAAAATAACACTCCTATTAATCTCTATCTACTTGAAAGCATTGAAATATTTTCAATATCTACTTCTTCACTATTTTAATAACATTTTAAAATGCTTATTTTGCTTTTTGAGATTAAATAAGTTAAAGTTTGCAACAGCTCCATGACACATTAGCGCAAGTACACCAGTTAATGAATGTTATTTCATGCTACAACTTTGGTATTCATGTCAGTTAGTTCAGTTAGTGTTTCGCATATTTATTTATTTATTATTTAGTATTTCTTGGTCTGTATACTTAATGTAATGACACTGTAGGATGAACACTGTAAAATCCTCCCACTAGTGAATTCTAGTCTCAAAGACAAGATATTTGAGCTTTTGTACTTACCTGTTGGGAAACGTCTGACAGCGCAAGCTCTCTCTGACTCTGACGGTTCTTTTTGTTTCAGTTTTCAGTTTATTGTTATGACAAACACACCAATGCTGTTGCACTGAAGAACAGGTTAAACTTCAGTGAGGTCCAAATGCTCACGTATCCTTGAACTTCTTGTTTTTAACTCTCTTTGAACATTAAAGTATGACAGTAACACCAAAGATGAGGTTTCAGTAATTAGTATAGAGATGTCAAGACCCATGACACCTCAGTCACACATTCTATAGAGGTTATGGTACATTCACTGTAGGCCAAGTGACACTGGGTGAGTTTATTAAATAACTGGAGTAAAGTATTTACCGGCAGGCACGTGCACACATAGATAAAAGGGGGCTTGAGCACCTGCCCTTGTTCTTCCTCGAGAGAAAGTGCCTTTTTTTTCTGGGGAGTGTCTTTTTTTAAATTTTTTGATAAATGAATACATGTATAGCTATATGTGCGCGCGTGTGTGTGTGTGTGTTTCTGTTTGCACACAGCTTTCCCTGTCAAACTAATAAAAAATATCAGGTTGTCACGGTTCATGGGTCTGTGTGCTCATTTCTATGTCTGTGTGTGTGTGGGTGTTATCCGCTCCTTGTGCTTGTCAGTGTTGCCTAGTTACCACGCACCTGACGAGCTGATCAGAGCGGTCACAGGTGTAGCTCGTCTGCACTGCCTATATCTGGCTGGCGTTTCTGTGGCGTGTTGTCAGATCGTTGTTGCTCATGTCTTGTCTGGTTCAGTGTTGCCAATTTAGCTAATTTGTAGCTAGATTTAGTGACTTCCCCGCCCCTTTTGAGACTTTTTTCAAAAGTTTAGGGACAAATATAGCAACTTCTTGGACAAACTCTGGTTCTCTGTCAGACCTTCTAGTTCCTGAGTTGATTCCCGCCTGTTATCGGTTCCCTGGAGGGTTTGGACTGCTTGGATTATTCGCTGCCTGAGCTGAGACTCTGCACTGCTGGGTTACCTGCACTTCTACTATTGATGTAGTTGGAGTTGTCTAATAAAGACTACCTTTTCACTTGCAATTGGATCTTGTGTTTCTGTTTCATGACAGAACGATCTGACCATTATGGATCCAGTGAGTGCATCAGATTTAAGAGACTTTTTGGCTCACAGTAATTCACGCATGGATCGCCAGGAGGAACAGATGGTAGCCTCAAATCGTGCTGTTCAAACCCTGGTCTCTCAGGTCTCGGAGCTTACCACCCAGCTACAACGTTTCCAGACTGAGTCTGTCCAGCAACACACTGTGCCTAATCCACCTGTGTCTTCTATCGCGGATCAGGCCGCTCGTTTCACCGAACCCCGCCTTCCGCCTCCAGCTTTTTACTCTGGTGAGTCCCAGCAATGGCGCTTTTTTTCTTGCCAAGTGTTCTCTGTATATCTCTCTTCAACCATCGTCGTTTCCTACGGAGGAATCGAAGATAGCGTTTGTCATAACGCTGCTCTCTGGACGGGCGGCTCTCTGGGGAACTATCGTTTGGGAGCAGAAGCTTCCCTGCTGCACGTCATTTCAGTCATTGTCGGATGAGATCAAAAAGTTTTTTGATCGGGCGGCTTCAGGCAGAGAGGCGGCTCGTTTTCTGGCGGAATTATGGCAGGGGATTACGCCATTGAATTCCGCACCCTGGCGGCGGAGTGCCGTTGGAATCTTGAAGTGCAGTGGGACATGTTTTTACATGGACTTGCTGATTATATCAAGGATGAGATCTATGCACTGGAGTTACCGTGCCGTTGGAATCTTGAAGCGCAGTGGGACATGTTTTTACATGGACTTTCTGATTATATCAAGGATGAGATCTACGCACTGGAGTTACCTACAACGCTGGATGGATTAATCGATCTGGCTATTCGGGTGGACACCAGATTGCAGCAGAGAGATCAGCGAGCGTGCCGAGCTCTGGCGGCCAATCTACTGAATCACCTTTCTGTCACCTCCTCTGACGCGGATGTTTCCTTTCTCTGAACCGGAACCCATGCAGATGGGCAGATCCCGTCTTTCCCTGGAGGAGAAGCGTAGGCGGGGAGATGAGGGTCTCTGCCTGTATTGCGGAGCTGCTGGTCACATCGCAGCACAGTGTCCCGTAAAAGCCAGAACCCGTCAGTAACCCCTTACCTACTCATTGTCACATTGGCTAAATCCTCTCTTGCTGCTACCCTCCTTCCTGTCAAGTTGCAGTGGTCCTCAGCCACTTATGACTGTCAGGCTTTAATTGACTCTGGTGCTGAGACTCTAGACTCTGATCTTGCTTTCAGACATAAACTCCCAATGGTTGCTCTCTCCCAGCCTATTGCTGTCCATGCTCTCAATGGTCTATCTCTTCCTTCCATCACTCACCCTACAGGTCCAGTAAGACTCCTCACTTCTGATAATCACACTGAGATCATTCATTTTCTTTTAACTGACACGCCTGTTACTCCAGTAGTCCTTGGGCATCCCTGGCTTGTGCTTCATAACCCTTATATAAATTGGAGTAAGA